GAATGTAATAACGCAAAGAACTGATGTAGTGATATTTGCAAGCCAGTTGTTAAATATTTGAAAATTATCCCTGCCCAAAGTAACAGCTACCAAAATTAACCTGCCATCTGTTCCTGTAAACAATCTTGTGATTTCCACATGAATTTCCTGCTTACATAAGCCAACCTGTTCATTCAAATTCTGAAGTTTTCTATCTTCATATCTATAATTATTCACAAATACCATGGCTTCTGCACTCATCCTCTCACTCTTATTGCACAGCATCGTTTCTTGTTTAATTATTCCTATTGACAAACTTTACCAATTCTTGACCTGTAGTCTAAACCTTTCCAATCCTATACTTCAGTTGCTACCTGAGTGAAAACTACATGTCACTTCTTGTTCAAACTTCTTAAATGGTTCCTCCAGGCACCAGCCTATAAATATATACTTTTTTTGTATTTCATTCAGGATCCATTATGCTCAGACTGCATGATGAATTTTCCAACAACAAGCCTTCCTCCTGCTCAATTCACATTAAAATCCATGTCTCCCCAGTAATAAATTACTTCTACTCCCACTCTCCGTTTCCTAAACCTTCCCATTACTAAGCCTGTGTGTGGGTGATGTTTTGTCTGCCTGCAATGACAGTCTATGTATTGTGTATCTGGTGGACACTTGATCATCCCTCAGATCTCTACCTAACTACAAACTCCCTTACTCCCCTAAGGAGATCAGAAGTCTTCCTTTTCTGTTTTTCTATATTGGCTCCGTATTTTGTTTGTATTTCAATTAGAGTAAATACCTATCTGTATTAGAGATACTTGTGCATTCCTTGAGTCTTAACAACCTGCTTTTAATTAATGTATGCTCACAAAAATTAAATTCTATATGAAAACCCACCTTTTATTTGGGAAGTATATAATAATTATGAAATGAGAACAATCCAACTATAAATGACTAAAGATAAATTTATGTAAATTTTTAGAATCTTTTAATCCAGTTTTGAACTATTCATTCAAAAGATGTTTATTGAGAACTTACTATGTAACAGAAACTATCCTTGCCTTGGGGGGATAGAAAGGTGAACAAAACAGATATTTTCTAATCTTATTGAGCTTATAGGCTGGTTTATCTAGGAAAAAGTCAATAAAGTGTATTAATATAATAGAAAAAGGCCCATAAGTCTGTTTAATGATAAATAAATATACTGTTAATGGAGTAAAGCTGAATCTAAAGTAAATTCCATATGCTTACAGATATGTAATTTCCTTATTTTGTTCAAGGCATATGTGTCACATCAACTATGCAAGAGACTTTTGTCCTTTATGTATATTTGTTGTGATTTTTTTTAAGTTTACTTATAATGGAATCATAATAGTTATGAAATAGTGAGTAGATTTATACCCAATTCGTATTACTTGTGAGAATTTTAAATAATAGCATTTTATATTTCCAAAAATATAAAAAATAGTATGTTCAAATATGTAGAGTACAATGATAAATACAGTAGGAGAAAATATCCATAAATGGTACACTTATGGTACATTAAGCGATTGTTACACTTAACAAGCAACGTCAAATTTTTAAAGTAATGGCCTATAATAACAAAGTGGAACCAAATAATCAATACCATTTAAGTCAGCATGCAAGCTCTCATCCTAAAATACAGGTTAATAATGATAACAATGAGCTGATTACCTAAATGGAGATTTAGCGAGTAGGCTGGCATAAGCACAGAACTCAGTTGAGAGTGTTCTTATACTTGGGAACCCTTTGTGAAGCAGAGACTTGGGGATGGAGTTCCAGTTCCATTTCTTGAATCATATTTTATGTGTGGATATATGAGCCAACTCCTCATATATCCAGGGAAATCACTAGCATAGGGGTGAAGAAAAGCACACACACTTAATTTTACCATGAAATATAATGCATGCATATAGCCATAAGATAGGAAAGCAGCTTGACACTGGAGTAATTCTAAGTAATGAGAACAATACACTTTTAGTACACTTTGGCAGAATGGATGAAGATATATATGTTAGTAGAATGCAAAAAAAAAAAATTTTGAAACCATGTAGATAATCCCACTAACGAGGAAACTTCTAGAGCTTTCCCACTTTTCCTTTTCATACAATAACATAAGGAATATATTTTATGTCATAAACAGAAATACCTGGTTTGCTTCATGAAGATCTGGAAGTCCACCAATAAAGACAGCCCCTGATTCTGGCAGTGGTTTTCCTGGTACATAACCAATAGATTCGCTTGCTTTTATAGTCTTCCCTAGAATAGTCAGTTCAGCTTTACATGGATCCAATTCTTGCCTGCAACCATTTAGATAAGAAATTTATGGTTTTAGCATGTGTTGTAAAAACATCTGTTTGACCAATTAGTTACGCTATTAACAAAAGAAGAAAGACTTAAGTACATAGATTATCTCACCATAAAACCAACAAAGCCAGAAGTAGATTAATCTATTCTAAATTAGATATCCTTAATGATTTTCACATAAATATAAACTTTAATAAAACAACAAACTGTAGCAATCACCTAATGAAATAAACAAATCCTGATAATAAACAGACGTTTCTCAAAAATGATTAAAACAATGTTAGAGCATAATATTCTACTTCAGTTTTTTACATTGTTAATTTTCTCTGTGAGTGAAAATTATTGAAAGGGATCAGGTTTAGATATGGTTATGTGGTGTACTATATATCTTTAGGTTGAAAATAGTAATACAGCAGAGAGTAATTAGTTGTGGAAATATAAAACATAGCAAGAAGTATAGCAAGTAAAATTTTAAAAAAATTAACTAAATATAACTTAATTAGGAGATTTCCAGCAATAATTTTTATGTGCCCATTTTTTAGAAAGATGAGAAAAAATGTTTCAATGTGTAGATATGCATGTCTCACTCACTCTAGCTATCTGTTTAACTAATCATCTAATCTAGGTATTAGAAACAGTGGCCCATAGGCCAAATCTTGCCTGCCACCTCTTTATAAATAAAGTTTAATTGGAACAGAACCACATATTTCTTTACATATAATCTAAGGCTGCTTTCATGGCAGAGTTGATAGTTGCAACAAAGACTCTGAGACATGAAGACCCAAAAATATTTGTTATCTAATACTTTATAGAAAAATTTGGTAGATCCACTGTCTAGTCAATTTATTTGTTTACCTACCCAGCAAGTAACCTTAATTATAATCCTTTTTGAGATACTCATATTGTAAGACACCCATGTAACATTCAGCTATGTCATCCTATATTATGAATATGTGACATTCTGCCTCTCCTTTTATCTATCTTTATTAAAGTAAAGTTGATTTACAACATCATATAAATTTCAGGTGTACAAAACAGCGACTCAATATTTTTTATACACTATACTCCATTTAAAGTCATGACAAAATAATGATTATATTTCCCTGTGCTGTACAGTACTCTTCTGTAGCCTATCCATTTAATATATGGTCATTTGTACCTCTCAATCCCCTACCCCTATCCTGCCTCTCCCAACCATGGTCCTCCTCACTGGTAACCACCAGTCTGTTCTCTGTACTGGTGAGTCTGTTTCTGTTTTGCTATATTCATTTGTTTTATGTTTTAGATTCCACATGTAAGTGATAACATAGAGTATTTGTGTCTCTCTGATTGACTTATTTCACGTCTCTCTCTGGTTAACTTATTTCAGTAAGCATGATACCTCCTAGGACTATCCATGTTGTTAACAAATGGCAGAATTTCATTTCTTAAAATTGGGGTTATTTGATTTACAATATTATATAAGTTTCAAGTGTACCACATAGTGATTCAAATTTTTTTAGGCTATAATCCATTTACAGTTATAAATTATGGAAGCAGCCTAAGTATCCATCAACAGATGAATGAATAAAGAAGATGTGGTATTTTTATATTTACATAAAGTTTTAATTGAATTATGCATGATGCAACGGGTAGAGGGTAAATCTCTATGAACTACCACATTGTGATCATACTCAAGTAAGCCCTACCTAGGTCAAGAGGTAGAAACTTACTCTTAAGAATCCCCACTCCAACTCTGGTACACTTTATCACACACCCTCCAACTTCATTCAACATTATGCTTTCCATATTCATCTTTGGCATTGAATTTAATAGCAGTTTCTTCTTTTTCAACATATTTTATATTGATATTTTACAAATTACTTATTTCAGTGTTGGTGTACATTTTGGTGCTATCATGAATATTGATGCTATAAACATGCTTCTGTATATTGTTTGGTGCAATATATATGCATTTCTGTTGAGGATTTAACAAACATCACTTAGAGTTCTCCATATTTGGGATATATATATATATATGCTCTGTTGGTGTTGCAAACATTTTATTTTTCTTTTCAGTGTCTCACATTTTTACTTTCTTAATAGTGTCTTTTAATGATCAAAAGCTCAATTTTAATGTATGGCAATAGATCAAACTTTTATATAATGATTCATATTTTGTTGTTGTTCCTTTTCTATGTCATTTTTGAAAATATTATTTTACTACTGATGCTTAACTCCACAATCCACTAGGGATTGATTCTGTATATAGTCTCAGGTATGTATCAATCATAAATCATGTTCACATATATATGGGTCTGTTTCTAGACTCTCTATTCTGTTCCACTGGTCAATTTTTCTATCTTTGTGTAAATATATCACTGTCTTAAAACTTACTTTAAAAATATAGTATTTAATACCCAGCAGAGTATGTAAGTACTCCTACTTGTTTTCCCCCCCCCATATTGTTTTTACCGATAGGTATTTGTGTGTGTGTTCCTGGGTTCTCTATTTTATTGGTCTAAATTTCTAACCCTGTACCAATACCACACTGTGAAATACTAATATTATTTATATAAATAATATGTATATATTTCTTATATAAATAATATTTATATATTTCTCATATATATATATAAGAGAGACCATCCTTCAAATTTCCTCTCTAGTACTGCTCTTGAAAAATGTTGGTTTCAAGATTATGCTGTCCTTATATTCTTTCAGAAAGTTTATGTAATATTCTTTCACATATGACAGATTTTACTAGTACAGCCACCTGGGCTTGGAGAGTTTTTTTGAGGTAATTATTAAATATGGATTTAATAAATGTAGCTATCTCCGTATTATGTTCAATTTGTTAAGTTGTATTTTTTTCTAGGGTTTTAAAATTTAATCTATATTTTGAAAATAATTAGCGTAAAATATTTCATATTTCCTTTTATTTATTTTTTTATTGGTGTCAGAACTCTAATGACAGCTCTCTTTCTTGTGATGTTGGCTATTTTTGTCTTTTCCTATTTTATTTGCTTTGTAGATCAATATTGGTAGGGAGTAGTAAATTTCAAGAAATGCTTTTGGTATTGTTGATGGTGGCCAGTCTCTGTTTTCCACTTTGTTAACTTCTGCTCTTATCTTTAGAAGTTCTTCCTTTAACTTTCCTTTGAGCTTAATTTAGTCTCCTGTTTCTAGGGGTCTTAATTTAATATATGCTCTTAAGATTGTAAATTTTCCCTTTAAGAATAGATTTAGTTATATTCAACAAGTTCTATTTTTCATTATCATCTGTTCAAAATGTTTTCTAATTTATCTTGTGATGTTTTTCTTTGGTTCAAGAATTCTTCAAAATTGTACTGCAAGTTTACAAATATACAGGGATTTTCTCATTTTTTTTACATTATAAAATTTTATCAAATTTTAAATTTTATTTAAATCAAGCTTGTTGAATATTCTCTATTTGCTTTTTAATCTTTGAAGTGTATTGACTTAGACTGTATAGCTCAGGATACGGTCAATTTTAGTAATGATTTCATGGTGCTAGAAAGTCTGTAGTTAATGGCAGAGTTCCATATATGTGAATATGGTCAGGTTTTATACAACACACAAACATACACACATTTAGCTTGTTTTGTAGAGAATATAGAATAAAAACAATGAAATAATTGAATCAGGCCTATGATGCATGTACTTTTTTTCCTAAAAAAACTATTTACAGATATATATTTTTTGCACCCTTCTGTTTATACCATGATATAAAGTTAATAGCATAAGACCAGGTGTAGCCAGGCAGCCAATTTAAGGCTTTGATAAAGTTTTGAATTAAAAAAAGAAAAAATCAATGATGTTCTCTATATTAAGAACATGGGAGAAAAATGTGTTGAACATTTTTAGAACCCACTTGATATTCTTGCATTCTGTATTTAGAAGCAAACAAGAAGTTTTCTGTGTTAATTATTTCTTACAATTAAACTGCTAAAAATATCTTTGGGAGGATATAGCTTCCAGGAATTTATTCATTAAATGATAAAAATAAAAAGCACAGCTACTTTTATTCCAATCAATCTCTAAATTTTAATGTTTGGAAAAATAACTTGTACTGTTTCATGATATTAGAATAGCAATAATAATTATTCACTAATATTTTGTTAATGAACTCATTTCCCATATTTCATGAAGCAAATGATACCCATTAAGATTTCAAATATATTTATTTGCCCTTTAATTGTAATAACTGAAAGAGTAACTATAAAATAATATATATAAACTCACTTTTTTTCCTGACTACAGAGCAACATAAGTTCGTTATAAAAAATTAGAAAAAAAAGAAATTTATCCAACATAATTGTTAAAGACAAGAAAACAGGCCAAGTGGAGTCAATAATGTGAAGCCCTCATGTCACCAAACCAAGTCTTAATTAACTTAATATGAGGTTCCCAGAAATGGAATCTTAAACCAGTCAATGAGGAATTGACCAGCATTAGTTACATAATATGCCTGATAAGACCCTGCAATCCCTGTGAAGAAAGTAGTCTTACAATAACCAATTTACTATTTTTCCTTGTATGACTTCCTTGTTTCTGCTCTCTGCCTATAAAATCTGTTGCCTTGTGTAGCTCTTTGGATCTCCTTTTTAGCTATTAGGTTGAATGCTACATGATCCATGAATCACTGAATAAAGCCAGTAAGATCTTTAAATTTTACCCAGTTGAATTTTGTTTTTAAACAGTCAATTAAAGTCACCACTTGGAATCTTTGTCACTTTGTTTTTGCAATATCAATAAAATATAGATCAATAGCTATACATTTTCATTAAGATTTTTTTCAATTCTCCATAATGATTATATAACCTATTGCTGGATATTTAGTTTCTAAGATTCAGAAATAATAAATGATTTTGTGATTTGTGAAAAGTCATCTAACCCTTAATTAATAATTTTCATAGAAGTGTTCTTAAAAGTGAATTATTGAAGCAAATCATTGGCAATTTTAAGGGTTTATTAGCAAATTGCCAAGTTA